ACTCTGGAACGAGTTACCTCTGCTTGTCAGACAGGCCCCCTCCCTCTCGGTTTTCAAGTCCCATTTAAAAACTCACTACTATTCAATAGCTTTCAACACAAGATGATCTGTGTCTTGATCCTGTATGCTCCACACTGGTTTGTTGTCATTATCTGCATCGGTTTTTGTCTATATTCTGATGTACCTCATTTTGTGTTTTGCTTTGTGTGTTACCTGTTGTTTTGTCTGTACAGCACTTTGGTTGGCCTTGTTGCTGTTTTAAGTGCTTTATAAATAAAGTGGTATGGTATGGTATGGTAGAGTTTTCAAACATAACACAGTCTGATGTTCACTATTCAAAATATGATTACAGTAAGAAAGCTCCTAAATGTTGACACTGAAAGGATGTTTTTGGCCTTACATAACTTAGTTATATTCATAAGGGTTACATAAAAAAATATATAGTTTGGGTAGTGTTGTGCATACACACACTTAAAATTTCCATTCATATTTGCCAGACTAATAGATTTCTATTCTAAAATGACTTTATTTCACTCAGTGGGGTTATATTGAAGTGGCACAGTGGATCAGCCGATAAAGCTGCTGCCTCTCAGCAACAAGGCCGCTGGATCAAATCCCAGCCAGGGACCTTTCTGCATGGGTTTTCTCCAGGTACTCCAGTTTCCTCCCACAGACCAAAAACATGCATGTTAGGCTGATTGGTAACTCTAAATTGTCCCTAGGTGAGAGAGTGAATGGTTGTTTGTCTTGTTTGTCTCTATGTGTCCATGTGATGGACTGGAAACCTGTCCAAGGGTGTCCACTACCTCTCACACAGTGACTGCTGGATATGGACACCAGTGACCCCCCCATGACCCATAAAGGAAGAAGCAGATAAAGATGATGTATGGATGGATGGATGATAGATAGATGATTGAGTGGATGGATGGATGGATGGATGGATGGATGGATGGGTGGATGATGGGTGGATGGATGGATGGATGGAAGGATGGATGGAATAATGGATAGATGGATGGTTGGATGGATGGATGGATGGATGGGTGGTGGATGGATGGATGAATGGATGGATGATGGATGGTTGGTTGGATGATGGATGGATGGTTGTATGCGATTATATTGTGAAGATTTCAGCTAATTTAGTCATTTAATACAGTTTATTTTCATACATTCATTCAACCTTTATTTATACAGGTTAATCCCATTGAGCCTCGGGGACTCATTTACAAGAGAGACCTGATAATGTTAAATGAATGAATGATAATGTAATGTCCAACATTTTTCAGTCAGGTCATCTGGACAGTTTCTTTCTTTGTGCTGAAACGAACTGGAACTGGACGTTTCAGCACAAAGAAAGAAGCTGTCCAGATGACCTGACTGAAAAATGTTGGATTGTATACCTGGATTATTGAGCATGGACTTTGTTGATAATGTAATGTATATCATGTAATGATACATGATCATTTATTACTTTTATCTCATTAAAGGTGTGTTTGGTCATCTAAATGAAAATGTAAGAGTGCTGTTTCAAATTATTCTCATTCTTTAACCCATTTTTGAAAATATCTGTTTAGCGTATCCATAAATGTCCTTTATGTGTGAACTCAAGACAAAAACAATAAAATACTTTTATAGATTCACAAAAAAAAAGCATTTCTAAGTGCACCTTGGTTATATTCATGCAGGGTAATGTGAACTTATAGACCTGTTTGTCTGAGGAAGAGCTTGGAAATGCAACTCACCCAATGTCCATGTTGTCGCTTTGTGGGAGCTGCTCGTACTGCTCACATTGTTCCAGTTCTCCAACAGATGGAGGTGAGGGCAAAGTCTCCATCCAGCTCAGACATGGGGTCTTCACAGCCTTACCCATGACCTTCTGCTTTGGCTTACCTTCAAATCAAAATGGTGAGATTGACAAGCAAAGCCACAAAGTCTCTAGGAAATTCTGCTTTGAGGGACTGACATCATTGCATTATGACAATAATTTGATAAGATTTCCCAGCAGCCTCATGGCTCTAAGGTATAAATATGATACTGCAAGATGAGAGCTGTTTCCATTCAGGAAAAAACAACAACAGCTGACTGATGTTTATGTTGCACACAAATAAAATAAAACTGTTTTAAAAGTAACAGACTGCAGCTAACTGTGGATCTACTTTGTAAAAGAAGGTAACCTTTTGTGTGTTTCCTCTGTAAGAACTGAAGGCCAAGCATTCCTTGCAGGGAAGAATATCACCTGCCATGTTTCATGTCATAACTTTAAGGCTCTTTCATAAACAGTTCCATGAAATGGCCACACAGACCAGTTTGTCTTTGTCCTCCCTCTGGTCGTTCATAAATCACAGATGAAGCCGGCCACTAACTGCTCCGATGGGAGAATTCAGAAAAAAAGCAGGCAGTGCGGAGCAGAACTCAGCTGGGTTGAAGTGGAGAACGACACATTCAATGTGTGTTGGATGTCTTCCTCGTGTCATTAAACTTAACGAATTACTCACTATAGTGATCCTCTTTGTGGACGGTATTATTTAAAGTAACTACAAAAGTTGCTGTGCGTCTTCGTCCATTTAACTTTGGTAATAAGTCTGTTGTTTAATCCTGCTAGTAGACGGTCACACACTAGTGTCATCAATTCATCACAATACTGAGCTGCTGTATCACAGGCTTTTTGTTTTGACATGTTGGCAGGACTCTGTCACTAACTTGCTCGACAGCACAAAGGCACACCACAGGAGGGCTGTATTTAACTCCCCTGCTGCTGTCTTGTAAGAAGACCAAGGCAGCCAGAACGCCTTTAAGTCCTGGACTGAGGTGTCTTCTGAAAGAGCCTTTAGACTTAGATCTTCTTTTGATGAAAAACCTGTTCTGGGGCTAACCTCAAAAATATTCAGTGAAATCTCATGGGATATTGTGAGATGTCACGTCAGGATGTATTGTGAATGACTCTCAGTTACTACCATATGACATATCTATGAAATAGACACTTTCTGTTAGTTTGTGTCAACTAGTTGTGCTGGCCATCTTGGATTGAACTTAAAAAGTTCATCAGTTGTAGATGTAAAAAATCGTAAGTATGGACTTTCTGTTTTGGCTTAGAACATGTGTTGGGGATCAGTCTCCGCTACAAGCACACTCAGAGGTCAAAATCTGCAGTGTCTGCTGTTTTATAGTGAGTTTGGTAGGGTTTTTTTCCCCCCTTGTCCTGTCAGGCATTGTGACACTTCAAATTACTGTCTGAGTGTCAAAGTGATGCCCAACAGATTTACTTTCACAAGCAGAGCTTTATGGCTGGCCTTAATGCTCCACTTGATATATAAATTAAATTGTATTAGAATTTGCTTTGGCCTTGTTTCAGATGTAATGGACATGGGGATGAAAAACAAAGACGATAACAAAGCAGAAAAGTGAGAGAAGGGTTAAAAGGTAAAGAAGGAGATAGGAATAGAGGAGAGAGAGAGGGATAAAGGGACAAATCAACATCATTGAAGTCTGCCTCTAGACCTGCAGAAAAAAAAAATAAAAACAAGACAAAACCGAGAAACCACAACAACAAACAACATATATAATGATACTTGTAACATCATTAGAATGTATTTTATACAGTAAATGGTAATACAAGATATATTTAGTGGCCACCACAACCCAAATGAGTGTGTATCTGATAAACACCTGAATCTAAACACCTGTGTGAACATGCTTGTCACTATAAGGTTTCTCCATAAAAATGTTCAATAGTGTGTGTGGGGACCCACAGACCCATCCCCACATGACACGATGGTAACACAGGGAAGACCAGAGCCACAGACACACAGGGGCCCCCAAGCCCGGAACTCTGGGAGTCCCCCAACAGGGACACCTGCACCCCCCAGAGAGAGAAGCAAAGGGAAGCCCCGGGCGATACCCAGCAACCACAATGCAGAAACCCCAGGAGGCTGCAGCGACGAGTCCACAGGCCCCGCCGGCAACCTGCCCCTCCAGAGTAGATCCGGCCATGGACACCGAGCCCCGAGGTCAAACCACCCCCCAACAGAGGCCTGACAGAGCCAGAGCACCCAGGCCCCGGCAGGCAGCCACCAGGGCGGGCCCGCACACACTAGAAGATGACATTTTTTGGGGAGTACCACAGGTCACGTGATTCCGGCCGGATTCCGGCCGGATTCCGGCGGGACCGGAGTCAACCTCATTATAACTCACGTGACTGGGACGTGACCGGACTGAAAGTTAACGGGAGCAGACAGGAGCAGGAACTGACCAATAACCAAAAATGAAAATGAAACAAACAACAACAACAACAAAAAAAACGGCGCAGCTATTTTGTAGTTTTCCTTCAGTAAGCCTTCACTTTAACACAAGTCAAAAGAACTACATTTCCCAGAAGTCAAAACACCGTAGCTTTTCACCGAGAGGGCGGGGACCAGCAAAGTCTCTAAAGAAATCGAATGGCTGAAATAGTTTGCAACGCAAGGTAAGAAGTAACTGTCTGTCTATTAAACTCACAGAACGGGCAGGAAAGTGTCAAATAACCCTGAACTTCATGAGAGTTGTGTTGGTGCTGTGCTGCTTTAAATGTTTAGTCTCAGCTTTGAGGAGCTGCGGGGAGTCGGACTTTGTTTACCGTCAGTAAATAAACAAACTTAAACAGCGCATTTTTCTCCACCTTGTCCCTTTTAATTTAAAAATTATGCTCTGCTTTTTAATGTGGGTTTTTAGGTAAAATTTTTCATTATCTGTCGCTGTTTGTAATGTAAAAAAACAACCGAACTCTACCTGTTTAAAGTGCACGCATTCTCCGGTAAAAATATCCCTATTTTTATATTGTGACATCCTATATTGGTGCGAGGTCTGTGGGTCCTCCCCCATAACTTTTTGAATAAAGCAGCTGCTATTTCCTACATTCTGATGTATTTTAACAGGTTTTAAAACATATGTGTTTACTTACATAAGTAAATACTTGATTCAATAACTGTTTTAGAAAGCACAGTATTTCCCCTAGTTAACTTGCCATGGCGGGGTGCTCATCTCATCCATGATTTTTGTTGATGGGGGGACGGACACTTGTCTGAGCGCAGATTGTACTAACAGTTTTTGAGTGGGGACAGGGGGCGTTTAGCATGAGGGAAGAGGCAACATGAGTGCTTCCTTTAGCTTTTTAGCTAGAGAACTTGTATTTCTCGCTGCTAGCTTAGTGTTATGTCAGTGCTGGGTGGGGGGGGGGGCAAGTTTGGTTTGGTAGGCGGGGTGCTCAATTCGGTTGATGGGGTGGGGGACCCCGCTTGTATAATGGTAGGGGAAACACTGAAGCATGGCACAACAAGAAGTAGCAGTAAGCTTTTTGTTTGTCTTTAATTTAATTTAATTTTTTTTACTTTTACCTAGCTGTTAGCTCTGGAAGCAAGCTGTTAAACAGCTTTGGACACAAAG